TGATGGTGTTCTGATAAACAGCTAAATCTCATACTAGCAGAAGCATAGGACACCAGGGCTGGAAGGGTTTGAGACATCACAGGAAGTACTCATGTCCTTCCTTCATCAAGGAGAAAACGGGTGTGCTAAGTTTCAGGTTTTGTTGCAATTGTTCAGTCATTTTTCAGTCATGTCTGACTCTCTGTGACTCCATTTAGGGATTTTTTTTTTTTTGGCAAAGATATTGGAGTGGTTTGCCATTTCCTTCTCCAGCTCAGTTTTTACAGATGAGGAAACAAAGGCAAACAGGGTTAAGTGACTTGCCCAAGGTCACACAGATAGTAAGTGCCTGAGGCTGGATTTGGACTCGCAAAGATGAATCTTTCTGATTTCCAAGTGTCTGTATTTGAAATTTAAGCTGCAATGATACTCCTAATCAATACAAATACTTTTTTAATTCCCCTGAAAGATATAGATTATCTATGATAGTTTATTAACTTATTGCTTTCTCAAGCTACAATATAGCCAAATGTTTTGAATTCATGAAAGTGGTGCTGGAGAGATATCAAGCTGTCATGGTTGGACTGACTCTCTCTCTCTCTCTCTCTTTCTCTTTCTCTCTCTCTCTCTCTCTCTCTCTCTCTCTCTCTCTCTCTCTCTCTCTCTCTCCCTCCCTCCTTTCTCTCTCTCTCCCACCTACCCACCCCCCTTTTTAAAAGCTAATACCTAAAAAAAAATAAATGGAATGGGGTAGGAGATGTTGGTCGGAGTTTGGTTGCAAGGGCATCTACTTACAAAATACGTTGTATTTTTTCCCTTTCTTCTACACTGGCGTGTCTGAAATTCGGTCATTTTCTATGCTAGTGGAAATGAGCATGTTTGAAAACATGCCAATAGTTCTACCCAATTTTTAGGAAAATTTATGGTCATTTAAAAACCATTAAGATTTTTGACTCAGATGATAGAAAATCAGAATATCCTACTCCCCCTAAACAGAAATTAGTTTTCTAATCTTTCTCAGCTTCTCCAGCTCATCCAAATCATGTTGTCAGAGGATGACTATCTCATAAATAGCTTTGTTCATTGTATTTACTATTTCTGTGCCCACACACACAGTTAACTTCAGGTTTGGATCACGAATTTACTCTTTTCTAAGTGTATTGACATTTCAGTGCTTGTCAGAATAAAAATCAATCAACTACTGGATTAGAATCTCAGAGCTAGAAGGGATCTCAAAGGCCACTGAGTCTAACCCATACCTCAGTAGCCCTATAAGCATTTGGCCTCTGACTAATGAGCTCCATTGCTAGGGAAACTCATTCCCCTTTGAGGCAACCCAGTCAGCTTTTTGGTAGTTTTCCTTGTTAGGGAGGGCTTTTTCCTTTCTCCTTTTATTGAACTGAAAGGTACCTTTTTGCAATTCTTCCTCTCTACTCTCTAATGACTCCTGGTTCTTTGGGAAGGGAGGATATAAAAATATTAATAATTAATCATAACAAGAAGAAGCATTTATATACGGCTTTAATGTTTGCAAAGCAAACATTTCATTTTATCCTCACAACAACTCTGGGAGGTATGTACTATTATTATCCCAGTTTTACAGATGAGGAAATTGAGGCAGATAGTGATTAAAGGACTTGCCCAGGGGTCACACAGCTAGTAAATGTCTTCTGCTGGATTTGAATTCAAGTCTTCCTGACTCCTAGTTCAGTGCTCTATGCACTATCCCGTCTAGCTACCTCTAGTAAAAAATATAATCAGGGGCAGCTAGGTGGCACAGTAGATAGAGCACTGGGTTTGGAATCAAGACGACTAATCTTTTGAGTTCAAATCTGGCCTCAGACACTAGATGTGTGAACCTGGGTAAGTCCCTTAACCCTGTTTGCCTCGGTTTCTTCATCTGTAAAATGAGTGAGAGAAGGAAATGGCAGGCTATTCCAGTATCTTTGCCAAGAAAACCCCAAATGGGGGTCATGAAGAGTTGGACAGTATTGAAAACAACTGAACAACAACAAAAACATAATCTCTCTTCCATATGACAGCTGTCATTTCCTTCTTACTCCGCTACAAATCTTCTCTAGGCCAAATCTCCCCATCTCCCTATCCTTAATGTCAGAAGTTCTTCACCTTGAGTCTATGGTTACATCTCAGGAGTCCATGAACTTGGATGGTGAAAAAATGACATCTTTATTTTCATTAGCCTTTAACTGAAAACTGAACATTTCCTTGAAATATTTAAAAACATTATTCTAGAAAGGTATAGACTTCCCCTGACTGTCCAAAGGCTCCATGGGAAAAAAAAGTGAAGTTCTGATCCTTGTATGATATGCAATTATGACCCTTTGTCATTCTGGTCATCATCCTCTCCATAGGCTCTTGCTCCCCAAATCTTTCCTAAAATGTGGCACCTGGAATTGAATATAGTACTCCTCCTATGTTCTGACCAGAGCAAAGTAGAGTGAGGGTTTTCATCTCTCTTGCTGCATTTCTGTTAATGTAACCTAAGATCAAATTGACTTTTTAAAAATAACATCAGTCACTCTTTGGCTCATTTTGATACTGCTGTCCAATTCACCCCATACTTCTTTGTGATGTAGACTCTGCCTAACCACATTCCCCCATCCTGCCTTTATACATTTGAGTTTTTGAAACCAGGTATCAAGATTTTATATTTATCCCCATTAAAATTCATCTTATCAAATTAAGACCATCATTCGAGTCTGCCATGACCATGTTGGGTCCCAATAGTATTGTTGAAAGTGTTGTCCCTTCCTTGGGGTTTGGACTATCTGGCATTTGAGGTGCTTTTTAGTTGTAAATTGATGATCCCATTATTCTCCAAGTTTTGAATAGCTTTAATACTTTTCCCTCATTTTGGCAGGGCTAACAGTGCCAGTAAGCAGATAGGCATGCTAGTCTGCAAACAGGCCAACTTTTGTATCTAGGTTGCGACATCCATTCATTCAACAAACATTAATCGTCTATTCTGTGCCAGTGTGTTGTGCAAGGCACTGGATGTTCAAAGACAGAAACAAAAATCCTTTGCCTGGGTCAGGGGAAGGAGAAACATAACATATAACTCATAAATCAATACAAAATATATACATAATGATTGGGGGAGGAGGCACTAATAATTGGGGAATCAGAAGAGGCTTTATGTAAGAAATGGCTCTGGAACCTCAGTAGCCTTGAAGGGAAGTAGGATCTCAAAGAGGCAGAAGTGACAGGAGTGCATTCCAGGCATAGTGGACAGCTTATACAAAGATACAGTGGGAGATGGAATGTCCTGTGTGGACCATAGCAAGTTGGCCAGTTTGATTGGCCCCTTTAACATGAGGGAGAATAATGTGTAATTACCCTGGAAAGATAGTTGGAGTATAGAAGGCTTTGTAGGTGGAGACAAAAGTTAGCAAAACTATGATATCTTTTTGTTTCTACTTTAACTCCAAAAGTGAAGTCATTCATTATTCAAATGGTGTTTTATCCCTTAGTCCCAGGCATTTCATAAGAAAGTGTTGACTGAGCTTGACTTCCTGGTACAAAAAACAAGATTATACTTTTATTTACTAATTACCATTGTAGTCTGAAGTCAAGGGACAGCCTTTTAACTAAAGAAAAAACAGCAACAAAGCTTTTTGTTTGAAGTAGAAACTGAAGATAATTCATGAATGTTTTCATTGTTTTTAACCCCAGGTGGCACATGTGTCTGTTCTCCAAGTTAGAATTGGTCACTGGAAAGCTCTGCACCATTGTCCGACCCCTCTCTCTTTCAGAATATGTTGGTCCAAAAGCTAAAATGAAAATTGAATTCTGAGTTAAGGGGAATCTTGTTGTATCAGTGACAGAGCCTGATAGTCAACTCAGTTTTTATTGGGCAGCCACCATGTAGCCAAATTTGTTGGACGTAGGAGTCTACACTAGGAAACAGTGCCTTCAAGAAGTCTTTCCAAATTTTTGCCCACTTATAATCAATTAGAGTAACTTAGGATTTAGATATGAAATGGACCTCAAAGGTCATTTAGTCCAGAGATGATAAACTTACAGTCAGCCCCCTAACCAATGGGGCATGCCTGAATCAGATTAAAATGTAATTGTTAAATATTTAACAAAATAAATAAAAATACAGTAGAATGTACATAATGTTATGTGGTTCTCTAAGTCAATATGAGGTGTCAGGGATCCTCATGTACAGTGGCCCCCATTTCTATTTGAGTTTGACATCACTGATCTAGTCCAATCCCATCATCCTACAAATGAGGAAACTGAAGGCCAGAGAGATAAAGTGATGGGTCCCAGGTTTCAGGGTTATACTGGGACTGGAATCCATGTCTTCTGTGTCCAAATTCACTGATCAGTTGGAGCGAAAAGAAAAAGACGAGAGAGAAAGATAAAAGTCCTGATAGTGGCATGTGTGGATGTTTGACAATTTTGGGGTGATATTCCTAGCATTTCCAATATGTAATCAAAGAAAAGATTTGCCTATTCATTCAGGCATTCTTTGGTCTCTCTCCATTTTAAAATTTAGTACTGAGCCTGATTAAGTATTGGATTGAAAAATCGGGAAGACTGACTTTGCCTGCCTAAAAACACCTGCAGTTTTTGAAAGTGAAACAATAGCCCAAGTTAGAGCTTCCTGAGTCATAATTACTTCTTTTCCAAAGATTGCTGTTGATTCAGAAAGATATTTAGATGTCCTTTGATTTTCACCATATGGTTAACCCGGCCTCCCACCTCCAAACAAAACAAAACCTAACGATTCAAGAGCATATGACCCCAGTGCCCCCATCTGCTCCATCTCTGAAGGTGGGCAGAATCAGACCCCACCCTGGACTTCCACAACACCGTTTTCCTTGGAAGCAGTTCAGAGTTGAAAGATTAAAAACAAATCAGCAGCAGTAGGGGCTGCAACACATCCTTATATGGGGCCTCAAATATTGCATACATTCAGTTCGGGATGCTTTCCTCATCTGGGACCCTCATGAATAACTTGTATGCACTTTTTCTCTTCTTGTTTCCAACAGCTGTGTGGGAAAGAGTTTAACCGAATGCATAATCTCATGGGCCATATGCATCTGCACTCAGACAGCAAGCCCTTCAAGTGCCTCTACTGCCCCAGCAAGTTCACCTTGAAAGGGAATCTGACCCGTCACATGAAGGTCAAACATGGAGTCATGGAGAGAGGATTTCACTCCCAAGGTGAGCTACCGCTGCTGCTTGGAGACCTTTCTGATTCCCATGACTGAGTTGGAATCCAGAGCACAGAAAGTAACAGATGCATGCTATTATTTTTTTTTTCTATTGAGGATTTCTTTTAAGAGATTTTCTCCATGGGGAGGCAGTGAAAAGGACATTGAACCTGGAGTCACAGGATCTCAATTTACTCAATTCACCGATCTGCCATTTACCAGCTAGGTAACCTTGGGCAAGTAACCTGCCCTCTCTGGGTTAAATTGATTTCCTCCTTTGAGAAATGAAGTTGAAGTAGACCTTGGGTCAAAAGTGGGGTTTTATTTTGGGGAAAGACCAAAGTGAGGAAGCTTATATGTGAGTATCGGAAAATGGTAAAAGAAAATGGAGTCTGAAATGAAAATTAGGAACATGTCTCACCAGACACAAAAAAAGAGGGCTTTATTTGCTTTAAGAGCTAGGGGAAGAGATGAGGGCAGGTGGTTGTAGGGATTGAGCTGAAAAGAGTCTCCTGAAATTTGTTGGCAAAACTTTGTAGTATTCTGCTATTTCCTTTCATGGAGGGCCCCAAACTCCAATGAGTTCTTTTTGTTTTTCTCTTGGGTGAGGCAATTGGGGTTAAATGACTTGCCCAGAGTCACACAGCTAGTAAGTGTCAAGTGTTTGGTCTGAGGCCGGATTTGAACTCAGGTCCTCCTGACTCCAGGGCCAGTGCTTCATCCACTGCACCACCTAGCTGCCCACCCCCCACCCCCCACCCCCCCATCCCCGTGAGTTTATTAAACCTGCTTAAGAATTGCCCATTGAATCTGATTGTGAAAGTGCCATGGGTTGGTGTTTGTTCAAATGCCAGTACAATTCTAATTACAGCCAAACTACATTTTACTGGGGAAGTGGGGAGACAAGTAGAAGGAAAAAAGGAAGAAGAATGAGGTAGATACTGACTTGGTTTTATAGGATTTAAAACTGATAGAAACTTTGGAAAAAATCTAAGTCAGCTCCTTCATTTGACAATTAAGAAATAAAGCCCCAGAAAGGCTTAAAAGAGCTTATACAAGGTCATATAGGTAGTACGTGGCAGAGTTGGGATTTGAGCCCAGGGCCTTTGATGTAAATATCCTGCACTAAACGTATTTCTTGGTAGATTTTATCTCCATTCGGTCTCGGCTATGTTGCCACTTCTCTATTACTTTCCTGATATAAAGTGAAGGAACAAAACACAAAAACTTTTTTTTTTCTGTCACATCTCCAGCTAGGGATTTAAGGGCACTAGAGAGTAGAGAGGGGGTGATTTTGAGTTAGGGCACTTCAGGTCATAGGAATAAAAATAAACTCTCTCCTTTTAAAAATTAGATTTAAATTATCCTTCATGAAAAATAAAACATTCTACCAAATTCCTTTTATAAGACAAGTACAGCCCTAATACCTGAACCAATAAAGGATAAAGGAAAGAAAGAACACTATAGATCAATATCACCTATGAATATTGATTCAAAAATAATCCTAGCAAACTATCCTCACGTACCAACTGAATCAGTAACAAGTGGACCACTTCCTCTTCATTTCCCTCTCTATCATTCTCCTGAAACCCCATGCATCCAAATAAACAACAAAAAAAAAGCCTATGCCTACAAAAGGAGGAAAAAATGAACATACAAAACCAATATTCTCTACCCTCCTTTCCCCTACCAATGCTAAAATAAAATATAAAATTTTATCAAAAGATAAGTCTTTTAAGTTTGCTTTTTCCTTCCTCTACCACATGGGCCAGGAAAGAGCTGATTCCCGTTTTTGGATGGGTCTCCTTGGCCCATTTTTGTAAATAAACATACCCAAGAGGAGATTTTCCTTCATTATTAGGCAAGATGGATCTTACCCATTCATAGAATGAGCGCATCTCCATGGTTAAGTCTTCAACAGATCTAATGGGAAGTTCCTGACTCTCTTTGCCTCACAAATCTCCAGGTTCATGGCTATGATTCTGAAGTGTTTATTTTCATGATTCTGTATATCCACAGGACTGCAAGGAACCTATCTGTTCTTCGGGTAAGCTCCAGGAACCTTTTCTACTACAGAAAGGAAAACTTCACCTAGGACTTTTCTTTTCCTGCTATATAACCATTTATGTATTCAAATCACAGTCACACCAAACAATTTTGTCAACCCATAGACGTTAAAATACATCATGGATCAACTGATGTCAAACCTGACTCCCTGGCAGATAGTGGGGAGTAGGAATTTCTGTCATCAATAAATAGGTTTTTAGAAATGTAAGGAATAACTTTTGGCATGAGTCTAAAAGCCCATGAAAAACAATTAGAAAAATTCAAGAGGTAAAAATGTGTCATATTTTAATTGTTCTCCAAATTTCAATTTTTAAGATGTAGTAGAGCTACCAGGAAGGACCCTCCCCCTGCCATGTTAACAGCCCTAAATCCATTCCAGCTTTAAATATATGATCTAACATAGACTTCTAACCTCACCTGTAGGGCACCTTTCAGTCTTAGTCTCACATTTAATCTTATCATCCTGAGCTCTAGTGTAATCTAGGCAAATAAAAATATATGTTTGGATATTCCTTTAATTGATAAATTAGTAAATAAATTATTTATTTACTATTTATATAGTAAATAAATAATTCATAAATTAGTAAGATTTCAACACATCTCTCAAGCAGTTATGCTCTGAGCCCCCACCTCAGTTCATCAAGTAATAGTTATTTAATAAACTAGAAATACCTTCTTTTTCATAAGTAGTTGCTTATATTTCTCTATATAATAAAACTACTAGTTTCCTAGGATTAAATACATATGAAAGTTACTGAATACAATGTTCAATTTACTTAAAATCAAATCAGTAATAACAAATATAAATTAGTGTTTACAGTAGTTTAACTGTGAGAAGTATCACAGCCATCCCTGTAGCTACAAGACAGCTTCACTTCTAAAAACACAGTACCACACCATTTAGTTCCTCCAAAAAAAAAATAGTCTTTACATGCAATTCCTCTTTATCCTCTTTACAAGATAAAGGTTACAATAGTTTCATAAAGAATACGTATCTTTCTGTCTTCTCCTGCCCTGATTAAAAAAAAAAAAAGCATCTTCAGCTTCTTTCAAGCTATCGCTCTTAATTCTGTCCAGATTCACTTCTCATAACATTGTTATAATGCTTCTTCATAAAATTAGTTAATATTTCTTCCAAGGAAGAAGTTTTCCATATCCTCTTTCTGTTTGTCTTCTCCATGGTTTCTCTTTTCTTCTCAGTTTCTCAAAATCCACCAGCCTCAACTGCCAAATCCTAAACATTCCATTTGACTCTTAAAATTACAATAAGAGTTAACTAGAGCCTCAGTATAAGAGGCTTTTAAAATAGGTGTTATATTTAATGAAAAAAAAGGACAACAAAAAGTTGTTTTCCCCCATAACTTCAGCATTTTCAGAAAGTTTGTATTTCTAGTCACAGCAGCTATTTTCCAAACTACACTAAAATTTCAAAGAGGCATCTATAGAAAGAGACAGCCCATGAGAGAGCCAACCATAGTAACTGGGAGTGGATTTACTGCCCAGCCTCTGAAAGTATAATTTAATAATAATAATTCACTCAAAGTTTATGTTCCAACATAAAGTGGCATGAAATAGCTTGTCTTGCTCTTACTTCTTGAGAAATAAAGAATTTATTTTTGCAGTTTTGCACTGGCTTTGTCAATTTATTCTTAAGGGATTTCAGGTATTTCATTGTTCTTGTCTGTAAAAGGTGATGGCATGTCCCCACTCTTTCCAAAGCAGCCTAAATTAAAACTCAGATAAAAATGCCCCTCATTGTAGCTCTGACAGGGCAAGGCTGTGACCAGGGAGGTCTGATAGAACTTCGAAAGAATTGAAACATAGGCAACATTTCTCCACTTCCCCTTTAACACTCTATTCCTAGTGGACATTTTTACACTCCATTCAATGCTCCACCTAAAACTCCGGCAAATAACTCCTTCACTTCCAACGGCATTCTATCAGGTCAGGACAACATTTTGTATTATCTCTTCCCCAGCAGATTCTACTTTACCCTGTGTTCCATTCTCTCTGCTTCATGCTCTTGGCTAAATAGTTTCCATGCTATGATGTTTTAGCTAGCTGGTGTCTTACCCCTAATTAAAAATCACACATCTCCAAAAGACTCTTACCTTGAGGCATTGGGGCAGACTGGCAAGGGAAAACATTTGGTCAGGTAACGTGTCTCCTTAGGTGACTCTGAGGCCTAAGTAGAATCCAGGATTTGCTACTTTACCCATGCAATCTTGGTTTGGACATCATTTCCTTCACCTCTTACAGAGGGTTAAGATTAGATGATTTTTGAATGCCTGCTAGCTCTCAATCTACAGCCCTGGGAGAGGCGGCTATTCTGTGCTTTAGTCCAGCCTCTCTGACAGAAGGTCAGATCAGATCTTTTTTCCCTTTATATTTTCAAAAAGCCAAAAAGAAAGAATGCCCCAATTTCTTTTTTAAGTTTTTATTTAATATCTTTTGTCTTTTAATCCTCTTCATTTTCAAATATATATTTCAAATATATCCTTCTTCCCTGCCTACATCCCTTGTAATGAAGAAGTTCAGCAAAACTAAACAAGAGTCTGGCAGTATATGCAATGTTCCACACCCATAGACCTCCCACCTCTGAAAGAAAGGAAGACACATTTATTTATCCCTTCTCTGAGGCCCAGCTCAGTCATTGTAATTACTCTTCAGAATGCTCTATTTTTCAACTGCTCTTTCTGCCAGGTGAGTTACATTACACTTCAATTTCTTCTTATTTTCATTAGGTTTTGGAAGAGGAAGGATGGCCCTCTCCCAGACGGTAGGGGTGTTGAGGAGCTTGGAACAAGAAGAACCTTTTGACCTTTCACAGAAACCTCGGGAGAAGGGTACCCCCTTTCACTCTGATGGCGAGAGTGCCAAGGGCAGCTCTTGCCCAGAAGAGGAGGAGGAAGACACGTGCTATGAGCCTGAGCAGTACAGCCCTGGTCCATTCCAGCAGAACAAGCCACTGTACACGCCCCAGGACCTGTCTAGAAAAACTGAGCAAGTGATGAAAACTCTGCAAGATTCCTATGGTGAGGAGAAGGAAGGCACTCTGAACGAAGCCTTGGAAGAGAAAGGGAAAGACAGCGTCAGTGCCAAAGGAGGCCATGAGAGAGACTTTGCATGCAAAGATGAGCTCCGCAGCTTCAGGGCTTTTCAGAGTGGCAGGCTTGAGCCTTCTTTTTCTGATTATCTTTACTTTAAGCACAGGAATGAGAGTTTAAAAGAATTACTGGAGAGGAAAATGGAAAAACAAACGATGATTTTAGGTATCTAAATGGACAGCTTTGAAATTACCTTTGGAAAATGAGAACCCAGCTGCTCAGATGAAGCTTTCAGTAGGAGCTATAATTTGCTGGGGACTACCCATTTGGGCAGCTCCTTAAAGAGGATTGGACCAAATCAGTAAGAACAATTTAAGGCAAAGTTAATGCCTTGCAGGGGGTCTGTTGGCCCTTTAATGTCAATAGCATAGTTTGGAATCTTCTCTCCACTGTTATTACAGTCCCTACTATATGTAATATTCCCATGGATATTTAATTGGAAGTGGACTCTCAGCTGATTACAGGGATTTTGTTTTCCTCTCTCTAATACTGCCCATATGCGTCACGCTCATACCTTTTCTTTCTAGTTGCCAAATAGCAAAGGTTTTTCAGGTATTAACTTACTAATGATGATTTAGTAACAAATAGACATGGTAGATCTCAAGAAAATATTTTTTCCAAATAGACTAAAATATCATTAAGTGCATATATGACAATAGCATTTAATAATTTTTTTTTAAAAAAGAAACTTTCCATACATACCAGAAATGGCTTCAGTAGCTCAAGAGTTAGACCTGGGATTTGCATGTTCCCAAGATGTCCCTGGAAGGGTGAGATGAGATCTAAAATAAGACTTTCTATGCTGTCAAGTGTCTGCAAAGTTGGATTGAGAAAAAAACAAAAAACAAGATACTAAGTTCCTAACTATAGATACTAATGTCCTGCCGCAGCTCCTTTTTGTTGGGGAAAGACTGGAGACAAAAATCTTCATGCTCTTCTGATAATGGGCCATGTGTTCTAGATCTCTAGCCAAATATGCAATGTGAACAGCAGGAAAGAGCACCATCTATAGGGTCCAACAATCCTAGGTTTCTAGTCCCAGCCTTGGTCACTTGGTACCTGGGTAACCCTAAAAAAGTCTCTTTCTCTCTCTGGGTCTTACTATTCTCATCTGTAAAACTGAGGGGGTTACACTGAATGATCTCTAAAGCCCCTTCTAGCATTCAGAACTGTGATCAGAGGCTTTTGAGAAATTTTCCCACCGACAAAAGCAGTGTGTATATGTATGTGTGTTTTGGGGGGAGGGGATGCATTTTGCTAAGGGAGAAGCAATTTATTCACTCTTCAGTCATCTCAGGCCTGGAGCTGGGAAAGATGTCCTCCCTTGAAATTTAAGCTCTGACTTTTGGAGATTTTACAGCAGTGACCAGAAGCTTTAACATAAATGAAATATTAAAGCATTATTCACCTGTCTTTGGAACCCTCATCCTGTAGGACAACACTTGCCCCCTGACTTCTAAAGAGCCAAGTCACTGGCATGACTTATTGGGTTGACTTCATCAAGAAAATCACAAATTTCCAACTTATGTCTCTACTTTGCTTTAATCATTGATAGAATATGTACATGCATGACACATCTATATATTGATATACATGTAGAGGTGTGTGCATTACATACATATCTTTTGTATAAGAGGATGCTTGTGGTGTCTGTTTTATTTAATTGTTTTGAAAAAAATACAAGATCCACCTTAATGAGGCTGATGATTTCTAACTGGACACTATGCCTGCAAATTCAGTAGAAGCCTCTAGGCAAATACGATGACCTCAAGACACCTTCATTGGAGTTACCTTTTTAAGTTAATGCCAAATACTTGAAAAATGCATTTCTTTTTTTGCTGATCTCCCAAGAGATTTGCTCAGGGTTCTGTGATGCCAGGGCATTTTCTACATCTAAACAAGTGCCTTCTACATTCAGATATTAAAATAGGGGTCTAATATTCTTCTGTCTTCCACATCACCATCTTTGGGATTCCTGTTGCTCAATAACTCATCTCACTGACTATTCCTAAGTGAAGAGGCAATGTTTCTAAAACACAGCAAAGAATGGTAATTCATTGAGATGACACGTCATTAAGAAAACTCTTCACAAAAAGGAATAATCCAAACAATTCAACTAGAAGCGTGTTCTTCTCATGATGGCAACATGCCTTTGGGTAGGATTTCCTGTGGCAGATTTGTAAAATTCAGTGAACCCAGTTATCTTCAGCTCATCACCATGCCAGGAGCCAGCCATAGCATACTGCCATAATATCATCCCTGTAGGCCGCCTTCCTCCTCTGTCATTCCAGAGACAAATTCCATGGTCATAGAGAATAGAAATCTGGTAGAAGTACATGTAATAAACCACTTTTATGACAAAAGACTAGCCCCTGAAAAGACAAATTTTCCCATAAGCCAGGAAGCAGAGCCTGGTTCTAATTGGTCTAACTAGTCTAGGTCATATTTCATTTCCTCCCCTTCTCTTCCTTTGGGTCACAAGTTTGACCAGGTCAACCAATTCACTGGTATTAGTGTCAGAACAAAAATATCTTCCCATGATTTCCAACCTGCTAGAGAATGACAGCTACAGAAATCTGTAATATAAGGGCATTGGCCATAGGCTAAATGACTTTGATGGAAAGATGTCATAAAGTTGACCCTTAAGCACATCCCTAGTGTGTCCCCATGGCACCAATTATCAAGTTGGATGTAAAAACCTGACAGTGACTGAGCTTAAGTGAGCATCCAATTTCCAGGTGAATGCCCCTCCCTGTGTTTTCATTTAAAATGCTTTGGAGTTTGGAAGTAGGACAACAAACTTAGTGGTTCCTTTTAAAAATATTACCTTTGAAAAATCCTTGCCAGAAGTGTGAATGATAAAGGCCTAGTAAATGTTTCCAACCAACACAGTGATTAGTGGAAGTGATTATTGATGGTTAAACTAATATTTATATGAACAGAGCATGGTCTAGAAGTAGCTGTTAAAACTTAGAAATGGAAATCAAGTAAATTGTGGGCTGTGTTCATTTGGTGTCTGATCTAAGGCTTCAGTGTGATGACAAAAGGATTAAATGAATTTAAAATAAAAATAAAGTTAGATTTTGGACCACCACAGGCTGCACATCAAGTCATGTCCATGATATAGGTGCCTCAAAGTGTTCCGGAATATAATGCTTTCCCCCTGGCATTTGGTATGCCGTGTCTGTGTTGGCCATCTCACTCCAATGGGCCACCCAACATCAGAATGAAAATTTAAGAGTTCATCAAGAAAAGCATTTTTTAAGAACCATAGGAATCTAATCAGAGTTCCCAATTTAGAGAATTTGACATCAATTCTCAGAAATCGTTTTAGATGATAAATGATCTGGAGCAGAGATGTCAAACATGGAACCTGGGCAGGAGGAATCAGATTAAAATGTAGTTGAGATGTATTTAACAAAATAAATAAAAATACAGTAGAACATAGGTAATGTTATTAAATGGTTTTCTAAATCAATATGCCACCTGCAGGTTTCTCATGTGCGGTTTGGTGGCTTTGTTTCTATTTAATAATATGTAGCGCTTCCTGTGTGTCAGGCATTGTGCTGAGCACTTTACATTTGTCTCATTTGATCTTCACAACAACTCTGGGAAATAGGTGCTATTTTTATCCTTATTTTATAGATGAGGAAACGGAGGCAAACAAAAATTAAGTGACTTGCCCAGGATCACACAGCTAGTAACTAAATATTTTGTTAAATATTTCCAGTCTGAGACCAGATTTGAACTCAGGTCTTCCTGACCGCAAGACTAGCACTCTACTGTGCCACCTAGTAGCCCCTGAGTTTGACGCTACTGCTTTAGAATTTCCACTTTGGGCTTCAAGGAGCATGCCAACATATTCACATTACCAAATAACATTTTGAAGGTAGGTCATTAGTATAAACTTTCCATCCCTGTTACATATTTGGAATTAAATATGAAATCAAGTGAATGACATATGTCATTCATCCCTTTTATCAACTCTACTTCTCTCCTTCAATTCTTCTCTTCTCCCCTAGCCATGAAACTGAAGCTCAGTATGTCACACAGTGGCACTGACCCTTGGGTGTAAAAGGTCTAAGTGTGTGTGTCTACAGATGGGAGAAAGAGCTATGCACATACTGTATTAACCTAAGCAAGTATTTAATAAGATATTAACATGATGTTTGGAATGACAATCTTTGCTAAGCGAGAATAGAACATAACAGAGCTAACATTCATAACACATTTGGAAAATGAAGCACCAAATATTGATGTACAGACTGCCAGTTTGCTATTTAAAAGAAAGAGGCCAAGTGTACAGTAACCTAAGTTGTGGATACTTAACTTTCTGCTTCACTGCTAAAGCAGTTTTACCTGAAAATAACACACAGCCTGTATTTTGTTAATTTAAGCGAATAAAGACTTGTTCAAAAAACCCAGTTTGGTCTTCTTAAATACATACATTTCTGTAATGAAAAGGCCTGTATAAGCATCTCATAAGCATTGCCACCACAAAAAGAGCTTCTATAAATATATTTATACAAATAGATCTTTTTTTCCCTTTTCTTTGATTTCTTTGGTGATAGACCTAGTAGTGGTATTGCACTACTGGGGTATGCACGTTTTATAGTACTTTGGGAGTAATTCCAAATTATTCTCCTGAATGGTTAGACCAGTTCACAATGACACTAACAGTTCATTAGTTTACCTATTTTCCCACACCCTCTCCAGCATCTGTTATTTTCTTTTTCTGTCATGTTAGTTGATCTGATAGATGTGAGGTGGTACCTAAGAGTAGTTTTAATTAACATTTCTCTAATCAACAGTGATTTAGAGCATTTTTTTTCATGTGACTATTGATAAATTTGATTTCTTTGGAAAAGTGCCTGTTCATATCTCTGGACAATTTATCACTTGGTCAAAGGCTCTTATTTTTAAAAATTTGGCTCAGTTCCCTATATGTTTGACAAATGAGGCCTTTTTCTGAGAAACTTGCTGTAAAATTTTTAGCTACTATTTCATTGTCTATGATACCTTTTATCAAAATGTAGTTTCCCTTATGATCTCTTGTAATTAGGTCTATTTTTGCTTTTGCTTTGTGTAAGATCATGATTACTACCCTTGCCTTTTTTACTTCAGCTGAAGCATAGTAGATTTTGCTCCAGCCCATTATTTTAACTCTATGTGTTGCATATGTCTTTCTGTTTCAAGCATGTCTCTTGTGAACATTATCTTATTGGATTCTGGTTTCTGACCTATTCTGCTATGTACTTCCATTTTATGAGTGAGTTCATTCCATTCACATATGCAGTTATGATTACTAACTATATCTTTCTCCATCTTTTTCTTCTGTTTATCCTCTCTTTTTACCCTAACCTTCCTCAAAGGTCTGCTTTGCTTCTGAGCACTGCCTCCCTTGATCAGCCCTCCCTTTCATCACCTCCCCTTTCTTTTTTCCCCTTCTCCTCCTACTTCCCTGTTGGGTAAGCTAGATTTCTATACCCAGCTGAATGTGTATATATATATATATATATATATATATATATATATATATATATATATATATATATATATGTATATATTCTTCTCTTTTTGAACCAATTCTGATGAGAGTGAAGTTTAAGGATTGTCCACTCCCCCTCATTTTTCCCCACTATAAAAGCTCTTCCTTGGGCACCTCTTTTTTTGTGAGATTCTCTCCCCTTCTACCTCTCCCTTCCCCCCTTTCCCAGTGCATCACATTTTCTCACCTCTTAATTTTATTTTTTTTAGATAATCTCATCATAGTCAATTCATACCCCTGCCTTCTGTCTATGTAGGCACCTAGATGCCATAAGAGTGATAAAGTTCTTAGGGGTTACATATATCATCTTCCCATATAGGAATATAAACAGTTTAACCTTATTGAGTCCCTTATGATTTCTCTTTGATGTTTACCTTTTTATGCTTCTCTTGAGTCAACGTCAAGTTTTTATTTAGCTCTGCTCTTTTCATTAGGAATGCTTGAAAGTCCTCTATTTGTTTAAATATCCATTACTTCCTCCCCCCCACACCCCAAAAGGATTCCACTTGGTTTTGCTGGGTAGATCATTCGTGGTTGTAATCCTAGCTCCTTTGCTTTCTGGAATATCATATTCCAAGCCCTCCACTCCTTTAATGTGGAAGCTGCTAAACTTTAAGCTATCCTGACTGTGGCTCCTTGAAATTTGAATTGTTTCTTTCTGGATGCTTGCAATATTTTCTCCTTGACCTGGGAGCTCTGAAATTTGGCTATAATATTCCTGGGAATTTACATTTTGGGTCTGTTTCAGGAGGTAATTAGTGCATTCTTTCTATTTCTATTTTACCCTCTGGATCTAAGATATCAGGCAAGTTTTCCTTCATAATATTTTGAAATGTAATGTCTACGCCCCCTTTTTTTTTAAATCATAGCTTTCAAGTAGTCCAATAATTCTTAAATTATCTCTCCTCGAACTGTTTGTTTTTCCAATGAGATATTTCCTATTTTCTTCTATTTTTTCATCCTTTCAACTTTGTTTTATTATTTCTTGATGTCTCGTGGAGTCATTAGCTTCTACTTGCCCAGTTCTAATTTTTAAAGAATTACTTTGTTCAGTGACTTTTTGTACCTATTTTTCCATTTGGCCTATTATGTTTTTTAAGAAGTTCTTTTCTTCATTGAATTTTTGTGCCTCTTTTACCAGGCTGTTAGGTCTTTTTTTTTTTTTCATAATTTTCTTGTGTCATTCTCATTTCTTTTCCCATTTTTTCCTCTACCACTCTTATCTCTTTCTTTGACACGTCCAGGAGTTCTTGTCGGGCTTAGGTCCAATTAGCATTTTTTTCTTTGAGGCTTTGTTTATGGCTGTGTTCATATAGTCTTCTTCTGAGTTTGTGTCTTGGTGTTTCCTATCACATTAGTAGCTTTTCATGGCCAAAGTTCTATTGCTGTTGTCGTTTGTTCTTTTTTTCAACCTATTTCTTGACTTTGAATTTTATGTTAAAGTTGGGCTCTCCTCACTCAGAGATGGGGAGGTATTGTCCCAAGTTTCAGGCTTTTTTGTGCTACTGTTTTCGGAACTAGTTGGAGGGCTCTGCAAGTATATGGTGCTTCTACTTTGATGTGATCACTGCTCTCCTGGTCTGCGCTCTGGTCTTGTGGGAGTGGGGGGTGGAGAAAAGATCTGTTCTCCTGCAGCCACAAATGTTAGCACTTCTCTGTCTCAGAACTGAGACCCAGAACTGAGACTTAGAACTGAGGCCATAAATTGTATATGGGCAACAAAGTTGCCAAACAGTGCCAGGCTCTGCACACAGTGCCAGCAAAGGGTCCCCTGTAATCTCTTTCTGACCAGTTGTCTTATCCCCTTACTATCTCTGGGCTGAGAGCTCCCAAGGCTGCTGCTGCTGCTGCTGCATGTGCTCCAGGCTGGCCTCCAACCTGGGAGCACAGACCTCTCCTGCCAACCTCCTAAGTTGTCAGGCTAAGAAAATGTCTCACCTCCACCTTTTGCTGGCCCTGCCACTCCAGAATTCGATTTGAGGCATTGTTTTGAAGTTGCTTGGTGGGGAATGTTGGGAGAGTTTGACAGGGCTGCTGCCCCAGCGACACCACCTTGTCTCTGCCTCCTCCAAGCTTAATTTCAACTGTGTGTGCAAAGAGGAAGGTTGGAGGTGCCTGCCTTGTGTCTGTCCAGCTGTCTGTCCAGCTGATCAACTGCAGAATCAGCATAGAAAGGTTTCTCAGAAGAATCCTGTTCAAATCTTTTTGTATATCTACTCAGCACTCTTTGCAGAACTTAGTATTGATTATGAGACATGGGAGATGCTACCAAAGGACAGCCCAGCATGGCTTGCCTGCATTAAAGAAGGCTCTGTGCTCTGTGGGCAAAGCAGATTCGTAGTCTCACAAAGGAAACATGAGATGTACACAGTCATCTCCATTCTCAGCGTTCTAACAGAGTACTTGTACCCAACCTGTGGTAGACCCTTCTGAACTAGTTATCACACTGCTCAGCCACAGCCAAACACACTGTACTCTGGCCCCACACCATAATGTCCCTGATCCTTTTCAGAAACAAAGGACAAACAGCAATGGTAGTATTAAGGATGTGGTGGCAATGACTTTGAAGTTTCATGAGATATTTGGGGATATCACTTTTTGTCCCCTCAGTTCTTTATGGACCACAATTTTTCAGCTGAGCTGGAAAGAGAAGAAAGTCTCTTCCTTCTCT